GAGCGAGACAACACATACGTGCGTGGTGGCGGCGGGGCGAAGGCGCATAGGTGCGTTGAGTCAGGCACATAATTTTCGACGGAGTGGATGCGTGAAATGTGCGGGTGTGCCCGCCCCACACCACTGCAGCAGCTGCCACACGTACCTCTCTCTCTCTCTCTCTAATATATATATATATATATATCTATATCTATATATTTGTATGTATGCATGCCCACCAAAAGGGAGGTGAGGGGGGGATCCAAACATAAAACAGCGGCTGCACGCATGCATGAATGGAGACAATCATATGTGGCCGCCTTTACTTTGTCATCGGCGTCAACGTATTTCCTTTTTCTTTGGTCGTGTGAGTGTTTTTGCTCCCCTTGTTGGTTCTTTGTGTTTTTTTTTGTTTTGTTGTTTTAGTTCCTCCTCGCTTCGTTGTTGTTGTTGTTGTTGTTTCGGGTCACTCTGCACCGCCACTTACTACACGCTTGTGTATGCAACCACACATATAAACACACAGCCAACACCACCACTTTACGCGTTATGGTGAACGATGCGGTGTGTTGTGTTGTTTGTCTATGCCCCCTTTCGCTCTCTCTTTTTTTTTTTNTATATATATATATATATATATTTCACTCTCCCTCTCTCTTCGTCTCTCAAACCAACTGTGTGACGCTGTGAGAGAGAACTAAGAGCGGAAGTAAGAGGAAGAAGCGTGTGACTACTGTCATCTTCACTGTATCAGTCTGTTGGTCTGCCTGTCTGTCTGTCTGTGCCTCGGCGTGTGTGGGTGTTGCGGTCGGTTTATTTGTGCGTGCTGTCTGTTTCTGTGAAGTGTCTTTGCTTCTTTTTTTTCTGTTTGCTTCCGCTGTTGTTGTTGTTTGCTGCTGCTGAAGCCAAGGGAGGGGGGGGTGCGTGTATCGCCGCTAATTCATTGGGTGCGAGTGAGAGAGTGGGGGAGTGGAGGGGGAGCACAAGTAGAGGCGTACAGCAGCAAATATTGCAGTCCACACACACACCATATATACATATATATATATATATATATCTTTTGTGCTTGTAACATCATGACAGGGCGGCCAGCGGAGGAGCTGCTCCAGCTCTACCAGGAGCTCACACACCCAGGCGGCAACTACTACACATCCACGAGCATACAGCCGCAGCGACGTGGTTACGCAGACGTGCGCCCCGCCAGCGGTGGTGTTGGGGTTGGCGACAGCTCCACACCAGTGAATGTGTCGACACGAAACGGACACGCCGCCGCGTCGCTGCGTGGCGATGGAGGTGCAAACCGCAGCAAACATCACGCCACCAGTGCCAATGACGATAGAAAGGGAGATGGGAAGGACATCCAACTGCGCGCGTGGCGAGTGACGGCTGAGGATGGAGTGGGCAAAATCAACAACAAAAGCAGCAGCGGCAGCAGGCGTTACACCACGCGGAGCAGTCACAACCACGCAGTTGGGCAAGGGTCCGCTTCAGTGGGGCTGGTCAACAGCCGCAGTGGGAGCACGCGACTGAGCGCCCGGCTGGCACAGGCTCTCAAGCAGCATAGAGGCGACCCAGATATCAACAACGGCAACCTAGACAACCCCCAGCCTAATGACGTGGGAACCAGTGGAATCCCGGATGGCGACGGGGTTATTCATCGTCACGTGGAGTTGTCCTTGTCGTCGCAGCCTGAGGCGTCGCAGAGGTTTGCCTGCTGGCTGTGCGAGACGCCGTGTGCGGGGCCNACGTGGAGTTGTCCTTGTCGTCGCAGCCTGAGGCGTCGCAGAGGTTTGCCTGCTGGCTGTGCGAGACGCCGTGTGCGGGGCCCGGCTGGTTGAATGCCCCAACCCTCTACACCTGTGCGGGGGCGGCAGACAGCCACAACGCGCAGCCGCAGGTTCCGGTGAGTTTGCTGACGCTTTGCTCACGGTGCAGTGCTGCGTGCGCGTTGCCGGCAGATGTGCCGCACGATGTGGTGCTGCGCAGGGCCGGCGCCACGCGGGCTCTGGCGCAGCGCTCGGAGCTGTTCGTCACGTCGGTGCGGGAGCACAAGCTGCTACTGGAGGTTCTTGCCGTGGACGCTGAGGACATGGCTGCGCGCGACACGGTGTCGCTGCCGAACGGCCTGTTGCCTTCTGCCTTGTGGGAATTCCCAAGCGAGGTGCAGTGGGACGTACTGCGGCAACTCATTGGAGCACTGGAGTCCGCGCTCGAGGTGAATGCACGGGCACCGCCTGGCGGCGATACCGACGGCCTGTCGTGTCACGAGCGGGACCTTCTGGCAGAGGAACTCGCGTGGCTGCAGCGCCAGCTTCCCCGCATCCACCACGACACGGCGATGCACGAGAGGCCACTGAAGCTCTCCAATCGCATTAGCGTGACCGCTCAGGTCGGGCACAGAACCCGCTTTGATGGCATGCACACGCCATCGTCGAGTCTGAACGGGATCTCGCCCTGTAGCCTTTCTCACACTGACCAGCAGCGCGGCGTGCGGAGCGAAATGGCGCCGCAACCCGCCGGAATGCGTGTTACTTCGTCCGCTACGTCTACTGGGTCAAGAACGAAACCGCCACCACCACAGCAGCTAGAGGAAGAGCAGGAGAAACGGGAGGCCATCCCAGGCGGAGAGCGGCGTCGCGAGGCGCTGGACCAGATGATGGAACGTGCACTGGCCGCACGAGTGCAGAAAGGCCACCTCAGCCCGGGTCTGCCAGCAGATAAAGGCGAAGCGCTACCTGAAAACCGAGGCAGCGATGGCGCTAAGGATTCCTGGCCGGCAGAACCAATCATATCAGCAGTACCCTCCAACGCAAAGGACACGGACAATATTCTTTTGCGCTATTTTGAGGGACGACTAAAGGATCTGCCACCATTCAAGCTTCTTCCCATGGAGGTCATGACAAGTGGGGGCAAAGACAGCAACGCCTTGCAGCTACTGCAGGGCGCCTCGACCGCGCTGCAGGGCCCGCGTGACGCCACCAGAAACACAAACAGCCCCAATGTAATGGGTGTGCCGACGGGTATGACGCTTGTGGCGGCCGATGCCGTTGATACCGCCACCATAGACACAGCGAGTCTGCTGGAACGTCTGCGCGAGGAGCAGCGGCGCCGCATCGAGGCAGAGGACGCGTTGCGCGAGAGCCACCAGCGAATCGCCGCACTCGAGAAGGTAACGGACCACGTGTCGGAGCTGGCGATTCACCTCAATTCGGCGGTGGCGCGGCAGCTGCTCGCGATGCAGCAGCTCCTACGCGCGGCGACACAGAGCTGTGTGGAGATCACGATGCAGAAGTCGCTCCTGTTCTCGGAGGAAATGACGGCGTTGATGCGGCAGACGCAGCGCCACGTGTACGGTGTGCACGCGCTGCCCCCATGGAGTAAAGCAGGCGGTGGTCCAATGGCAGCCCGCGCTATCTCACACGTCCCATCCGTACCCCTGCGTGCTGAGGAGCAGGCATCGCCGGCGCCCTCCACGGCACGTGCGCCGTCCTATCCGTTCCCCACGTCGCTGCAGCTCGTGCCGCTGAAGAGCAGCAGCTGCAGCGCCGCAAGCCCGTTGCAGTAGAACTCAGAAGCGTGAAGGCAAAAAAAAGAAAAGAAAAGATACAAGAAAAATGCCACGCGGTGCTATGCCACTTATGCTGCGGCACGGGGTACAGGTGGCGACCAGGACGGTGGTGCTGTGGCGCTGGGGGAGGGACAGCTGAAGGAAGGGTCCGTGTCGAACTGTTTCCTTTCTGCATCGTTGTCATATAACGTCTTCAAGTAAGCAAACGCACAGCGCAAAAGAACAACAACAACAACAACAAAGCGATGTTGGTCCAAGGCCTTTAGTGCCGCAGCGAACGCAACACATGAGTTACATTGTAGCGAATACGCTGTAACAGACTTCCAGCTCTGGTGGCTTCCCTTTCAATCAATAGTCTCCCCATTTTACGGCCTGTCTTCGTGTCTCCCACTTTTGTTTTGCTGGAATGATGACACTATGGCACAACATTTGCCATTTTCTCCCCCCCCCTCTATCTTTCTCTCTCTCCCTCCGTCCTTCTTATTCGCACTTCATTGGCTTAATACCTGGCCATTGTCTGTGCAATAGCGAATTGCCTGGATGAAGTCTGCGGCCGCACACTTCCTCACCGCGCCTTCCACGCGCGACGGCGTTGGGGAGGCGGCGATCAGCGCAATCCGGCAGACGGCTGCTTCAGCAGCGGCAGGAGTGCCGTGCAACACAGCGGCCACTCACTCCGCGGGCGACGACACCGCGCAGCGCGCTCTTCACACGTCACTGGTCCGCATGCTGTGGGCGCCGCGCCCTGTGTTTCTTGCCCCGCTGCTGCGCTCACCGCGTGTTAGCGGGTCGGTGGTATTGCTTGACAGCGTTCCGTGCGGCGCTGTGTGTTTTGGTGGGCGCGTTGTGCGTTGCGAGGGGCCGGGACGGAACGGCAGCGCCACCACACCGCGGCCATACACGGCCATGTTGGTCTCCGACACGACAGGCATCATTGCGGTTGTGCAGCTCCACCCACCTGTGGAGAGCGACAGTGGTGGTGCTCCTGCTGCTGCCTTGGCGGACGAAAACTCCACGTCGTCCAATAACAGCGCGGCGGCAGCGGTGGGCGATGACGACGATATTCGCGAGAATGACTACGTGTTCGTTGCAGGGAGGCTTGCCTTTGCGGATGTGTCGAAGGACGTACACCGGGTCGTGCAAGGCGCCATGGATTTTGTGGCAGGCAGTGTTCAGCGAAGTGTGGATGACCGCTTCTGCGTGCGTGGCGCCGTCCGTCTCATCAACGACGCGAGCGAGTTGCACTACTGGGCGCTGAGCGCGCTGGAGACGCACGTGCGGCTGCTGGCCAAGGCACAATGAGAGGTGGGGGCCCGCACGCTGCCCACTTCCCGCAGCTTGCCGTGGCGCAGCCCACCACAGAGAATACCTTTCTTCTTCCTCCCCACGCTGCCCTACAGACTGGTGGACGGCGTGCACCACCACCACCGGGCCCAGTCANGTCTCTTCGCAGTGGGTTGTTGTCAACACACACACACACACACACACAACGGAAAAATCTTTCTAGTGTCCATTGAAGCTGCCCCTTCTACCATTTTGTTTCTTTTTTTGTTTTGTGGGGTTCTTCCTTCTGCCCCTACGCCACCCTTCCCCTTCCTACTGGATCCTCCTTCTCCTGTACTTCTTTTTTTCTTCTTTTCTGCTGCGTCTGTGGTCGGCCAAGCAGGAGTGGAACGATGCGCAAGCGGGATCGCTCTGCCTCTGCGTCGCCCGCCCTCCGCGCCGCACCACCCGTGGAGCAGCCGAGCGAGCGGCTACGGTTGCGGCAGCAGGTGCTGCTCGACGTGCTGCGCCGCACCTCGCTGGCGGAACAGAAGGACCGCGAGATCGTGGAGTGGCTCACCGACGCCGCAGAGTGGCTCCAGGACGGTGAGTTCGAGAAGCTTG